GTCAGTGCAGAAGGAGGGGGAGGAGGTGCTCTTGCAGCCCATAGTGCAAACCATGGTGAGGCAGCTGTGCCCCTGAAGCCCATGGAGGGCATGGGAATGCAGAGATCCACCTGCAGCCCCTGGAGGAGCCCATGCTGGAGCAGGTGGATACCTGAGAAGAGGCTGTGAATCCATGGGAAATTTGTGCTGGAGCAGGCTCCTGGCAGGAACCTGCATACCTGTGGAGAGAGGAGCCCATGCTGGAAGTAGGTTTCCCAGTAGGACTTGTGACCCTGTGGAGGACTCAAGCTGGAGCAAGCTACGCCTGAAGGACTGCTCTCCATATGGAAGAGTGATCCGTGTTGCAGCAGTTTGTGGAGAACTGTTGCCCATGAAATGGACTCACGTTGGAGAACTGTCTTCCATGGGAGGGACCCCATGCAGGGGAAGGTCTCCAACTCTTCTCCCTGAGTAGCAGCAGGGAACACATGTGATGAACTGACCATAACCCCCATTCCTTGCCTCTCTGCACTGCTGAGCAGGAGGAGGTAGAGCTGGGAAGAAGGGAGTGGTGGAGGGAAGGTATTTTTAAGATTTATCTTACTTCTTATTATCTCACTCTGATTTTGTTAGTAAGAAATTCAGTTAATATCCCCAGTTTGAATCTGTTCTGCCTGGGATGGTATTTGGTGAGTGATCTCTCCTGGACCTTATCTCAACTCATGAACCTTTGTTATATTTTTTCTCTGCTCTGTCCAGTTGCAGAGGGAAGTGATAGAGTGGCTTTGGTAGATGCTGGGCATCCAGCCAGGGTCAATTCACCACACTCACAGAAGAGCAGGTGGCAGAGTTTGCTCTTACAGACAGAAGATGATTTATTTGGAAAGGTTGCATCTGGATGGAGGATCAGATCTCCTGAACATGACAGCTCATCATTGTGCAGTTGCAAAGGTCCTTGCAGCAGCACCTCCAGCTGGAGCAGGAGAGGTTCCACAAGCTTATGACCCCCTAGTCCTGCCCAATCACATCCCGTATAAGTGGTTTCTAATTATTTTAAGCTACCTACACAACATCTCTGAACTATCTTAAATGTGTACTGTTGCAAATGGTCTGTGCAGTTTGGGTGATGCTGCAGCAGGAACCAGCTGGGGAGGCCATGGGATCATAGAATCAGAGAATCATTTAGATTGAAAAAGACCCCTAAGAACACCAAGTTCAATCCACCCATCACCCATCGGATGCCTCGACCCTTCCTGCATGGTGGAGACACACGGAAATATGCAGGTCATGGTTCTGCATTGACTTTAGGTGCAACAGGAGCTCCTGGGGGATGATTCTATGATCCAGTGATCCTCAGGCCTGTCCTGAAGTTCCTGAATCCACCAGTCAGATGCTTCCTTGGGAGTTCAGTCCATCATTGGTTCAGTCTTTACTGCAGGAAAGAGCTGGGGAGTACCTGGACCACCCTGGGGCTGGATGTTCACCTGTAGTGTGTGTGCCTGGGCACAGCCCTGGCTCCCAGCCAGACCAGTCATACCAAGGGGCAAAACTGTATTTTATCATAGGATCACAGAGCCATAGTTTGGGCTGGAAGGGACATTAAAGACCATCTAGTTCCAACCCCTCTACACAAGCAGGGACACCTTACACTAGACCAAGTTGCTCAGAAACCCATGCAGCTTGTCCATGAACACTTCCACGGATGAGGCAGGGATTATCCTTCTATCACACTTAAATATTAAATATTAGAGCAGCCTCTGAGGAAAGGGATCACTCTGATCAGTCCTGGAGGGTTTCTAGGTTTCTCAGCCTGTTCTTGTGCCCAAGGAACACTTGTCTGCCCGGCTGCTCTATCCCCAAGCCCTCAAGGGACATTCGCCTGTCCTGACAGCTCCATCCCCAACCCTGGCTTTGGCATTACATAAACTAAGGCCAGAAAACTGCACTGTGCAGAGTCAGGGAGTCCAGCCTCGCCTGCCTGACCTTGGGCAAGGGGAGGGACAGGCCTGGGATCCCAAGAGGGAGGGAGGTGGTGGGAGACAGTGTCGCAGTGCAAGGACAGGGATAGTGCTGGCCCTGAAAGCCAAAAGGTTCAGGTTTGGTAGAGCAGGGAAGGTGCATAAAGCAGCACTCCAGACACCTAGCCCTGCCTGGGCAGGACACTTGGCTCCCTTTGTGTCATTCCACAGCCAGCAGGAAAAGTGGATCATGGGTATGGACCAGAGCCAAGAGATTGAGGTGCAGGCAGAGAATTTCCGAGAGCCACGAGCTGATGCAAGTCCTCATGGGAACATGCGAGATAACCAAGTAGCAAAAGGCACCGGCAGAGTCCAAGCGAGAGCAGTGCAGCCACAGCCAGAGCAGCATGGCAGGGCTCCATGTCCGCTCCCTTCTGGTGACTGGGGCCAACCGAGGCATCGGCCTGGGGCTCGTCCAACATTTCCTGAGGATGCCAAAGCCACCACAGTGGATCTTTGCAGGGTGTCGGGACCCCAAGGGACAGAGAGCGCAGGTGAGACTGGGAAGGGGGAGGCTGGATCAGGAGTGGTGCTTGCAAGGGGCTGGAGCTGCAGTCAGTCACCTGCAGCCCAGATCAGCTGGCTTGGGACACCACAGGACCAGTTGTGCATGGGATATGTGGAGGGGAGAATGGCACACGGCATGTATAGAAGGCACCCCATGTTTAGAAAAACCCTACATGATGTGGCAGCTGGAGCAGGTGCTGGACATGAAGTGGTGCAGGGACAGAGATGGAATGGCATGGGCTTTGCCTGGGAGAGGCTGAGCCTCTGCACAGCCCCTCCAGCCTCCCCATGCCTACACAGTGCCCTCTCTTTCAGGAGTTACAGAATTTGGCCTCCAAGCACCCCAACATCATCATCATCCCGCTCGGTAGGTGCCCCGAGCTGGGGATCCTTTGCCCCAGTTCCTCTGGCGAGTGCCCAGGCTGGGCACACCCTGGGAGCCCCGTGCTGGGAGGGAGCTGTGCCAACGGACTGGTGCCTGCAGGGCCATCGGGCACTGCCACCTCTGGGGGAACAGAGGGGACTTCCCCCATGGGGACACAGGCTCTGACCTCCCCTGTGTTGCCTCTGCAGAAATCGCCAATCCCTCCAGCATCAAGGCAGCTGCAGCCAAGGTTGGGGAGCACCTGGGGGGCTCTGGGCTGAACCTCCTCATCAACAACGCTGGCATTCTGAAACTGAACACAATTGATACTGAGACACTGGAGGACATGAACGAGGTTTACACCACCAACACCATTGGGCCTCTCCTGATGGGCCAGGTGAGACCCTCACCCAAGTTGGGCTGTGCTGGGGGAGCATGAAGGGCAGGTGGGAGGGGGTCCTGCCTCCACTCTAGTGACCAATGGGCCCTCAGTTGATGAGAAGCTCACAGAGCCATGGGCTGGAGCTCAGGAACTGGAGCCTGGCAGGGAAGAGGAGGGAGGATGCCCCAGTGCTGGTGTCAGTGTTCCCCACTGTGGAAGGAGCTTCTCCCCTGCCCTATGCTGTGTCTCTGTGTGCTTCTGTCCCTCTGCCTCTGTGCAGGCGTTTCTGCCCTTGCTGAAGAAGGCTGCCCAGGGGAGCCCAAGCTCAGGGCTGAGCTGCAGCAAGGCTGCCATCGTCAACATATCCAGCATTGGCGGCTCCATTGCTTCTTCTTATGGTTGGGACATCATGCAAGTCACCTCATACCGCTGCAGCAAGGTACTATCACACCTTTGAATCCCCTGCAAAGGGGTGTGTCCCCTTGCAGCCCCCCTTCCCCACCCACCACCATCCCGTCCCTGTCTCCCCACAGGCTGCTCTGAACATGCTGAGCAAGTGCCAGTCCCTGGCGTACAAGGAGCACGGCATCCTCTGCATCGCTCTCCACCCCGGCTGGGTGCAAACTGACATGGGCAGCTCTGCCGGACACGTGGTAAGATTTCCATGGGGGCGAGTCCATCAGAGCTCCTGTGCTGATTTTCCATGGGTGGGAGTTGCTGTCCTGAGCCCCAGCCCATGGCTTCTCTGCCGGCCCAATCGCTGCTGGGGCAGCTCCCCCTGTCCTGGTAGTGGGTGCTAGGTGCTGGGTATCTCCATCTCCTCGGTTCTCGTCTCAGTCTTTCCCCCTGGGGTTTTCAGCTTTCCCTTTTGCCCGGGAGTGCCTCTTTCCCCTGGCTCTAGCCTCTCCAGGGCCCTCAGCCAGGCCTTGGGCATGGACTGCATCTCCCCCTCTGCCCCACAGCCCCCTGTGACAGTGGATGACAGCATGCAAGGGATGCTGAAGGTCCTCTCCTCCCTCTCTGAGAAGGAGACCGGCGCCTTCCTGGATTGGGAAGGGCAGGTCATACCCTGGTGAGACACCACTGCAGGATCCAGGCAGTGGGACCCTGTGCCACTGCTCCCACGTTTCCCCCACATCCTCAATAAACTCCTGCTGAGAGCCTCCAGCTCTGTTGTGCATTGCCAGCTCATGGGATGGCCCCTTCCCAGATATCCCACCCGTCATCCCAGGATGCAGTAGTGCCCACAGCTGTCCTCGATCCACAGCTGTCACTGGCATCCCCATGAGTGTCCCATGGCACTGTGACTGCTCTCTGGAGACCGCCCCTGCAGGAGGCACTGGAGAAGCTGGAGCAGGGCCCTTCTCCTCAGAGGAGAGAGATCTTTGAGCCCCTGCACGACTGGCTTTCCCTTGCCCAGACTGAGCTGCCTGAGGGGCTGTGGGGGCACAGGGACCGGATGCCCTCTCCCCTCAGCTGGGGGATGCCTGGTCACAGGTGGGACAGATGGACACACAGTGGTCGGGCAGAGCACAGGGATCCTGCCCCTGGCCTTGGCGGGTGGTTTGACATTGAGTGTGGAGACAGAGCAGAGAGGCATCAGCTGCCAGAGTTTACAGAGATGGGGGATACAGAGGGACCACAGGGAACACATGGCATGGGAAAGGAGAAAGAGGCTGTTTCCCAAGCTGATTCTCTCTCCCCGGCAGTGTGGGGAGGACTGAGGGTGAGCAGGGGTGACCATGCAGAGTGGTGAGCCATTGAGCAGAGGCTGCAGCATGGGCAAGAGACGTCATCCATTTGTCCATCACCATGGCAGGCTGTTCCCTTCCCAGTCGAGGAAGGCTCCAGAATTGTCCTGTGAGAGGCTGGCCAGCACAGTCAGGATGCCTCTCACACTGTGCTCCACTGTCAGCAGTGCCTGCAGAAAAGGACAATGGGCTGTAACAGAGAGCAGCTCTTGGGGAGGGAGCATGCCTGGGAGCAGCATCCATGGTGCTCATGGGGATACTTTTCCTTACTGCCACACCTGTTCTTCAGGCTGGGTTGGGGATACAGGGCTGGCTATCCCATGTACTCAGTATGTAGCAGCTTGCTGCCTGCTCCCTGCCTTCTCTGCTCCAGAAGATGGTCCTGGCAGCCCACAGCATCACACAAGATCCCCCAACTGCCCCTGCTTTCCCCAAGATACAGGGATTCAGTGGGGGTCCTGCTGACCCTCCCTGCACAGCCCAGTACCTGCTCTGTGCCCATGTCAGTCTTCACCCAGCCAGGATGGATGGCCACACACAAGATCCCCTTGTCCTGGAGTTCTGCAGCCAAGCACCTCGTCACCATGTTCTGGGCAGCCTAGAAGAGGCACAGCCCTGCCAGTACAGCCAGGGGAATGGGTGGGCAGGAGAGGAGACATTCCCCATCCACAAAATGTCTGTGTAGGTGGGAAATGGGACTTGGTCCTGGGACAAAGCATCAGCATGACCTGCTGGAAAGGCTCAGTCCTGGCTGCTACTCTCCTGGTCTCTGTGCTTCTGCCTGGCAGAACCAGGAAGGGAGTGGGTGGCTGGGGCAGGGGATGATCCATGGGCTCCCTCCCCTCCTCGGGCACCGTGCCTGGGACAGCATCTCCAGCACCTCCCCTGGCGCCTCACCTTGCTGGCCCGGTACGGGTACATGGGGGCCTCTGGCACCCTGAGGCACAGCCCAAGGGAGCCCAGTTTGCTGGAGATGTTGATGACAGCGGCCCTGCTGCAGCTCAGACCCTCCCTCCCTTGGCTCCATGAGTGGCAGAAATTCCTGATGCAAAGACACCAACACTCCATTAATATGCAACAGAACACCAATTTGGGGACCATCCTGAAGGGCTCTGTCACAGACTGTGGACAAGCAGTCGGACAGGCACTCCTGGCAGAAGTGCAGGGGATGGGAGATGCCCCAAGGAAGGGCCAGGCTCCAGCCTTTCCCTTCCCCAGGAAAGGAGTGAGCCAGCACAGTGAGCCTGGTGCAGGCAAGCGCTCCAGGCGGGGAAGAACTAAGCACAGGAGATGCTGGGCTGGGCTAAGATGCTCTGGGGAGGCAAGGGAGATCCACGGAGGTGACCTTATTCCCACTGGGGAACATCTTCCCAAGCAGGAGAAACCCGAAAGGTCCAGATATACCTTGACAACCTGGAGTGGCCCAACCGCGTTGGTGGCAAACACATCGAGCATCTCCTGCGAGTCCAGGGAGTGCAGTGTGGCATGGGAGCTGATGCCTGCATTGTTGATGAGCAGGTTCAAACCCTGGTCCTTCAGATGATACCCCACAGCCTGCATGGCCCCTTGGATGCTGGGCAAATTCACTGTGTCTGCCAGGGAAAAAGCAAAGTGAAGGATAGCTCTGATAGGTCACACAACACCCACTGAAAATTGTGCTGTGGCTGGAACCAGCACTTCTTATCCAGAAAGGATGCAGCAGGTTTAGCAGATTAAGCACGTTGGAATGAGCAGCAGTTTGTCCTCACCTCTTGGTTTTGCAGTGTCAGCGGAATAAAACCTCAATTCAACTCATTTTGGGTCATGTGGGGGCTACTGGTAGGAAAAACTTGTCTGTATTTGCTTTTTGTATTTAAGGAATTTATGACCTTACAAGGGACGCTTGGTCCTTGCACACTGATACTCCCAGGTTTATTTCCACAAGGAGCCTTTTTTTGCTTCATGCTGTCACCCACAAGGTTTTGGAACTGACAGCTGGGCTGAGGTGACTACAAGTAATAAAAGATTTGGGATGTAGCCTGCAGTATTTGGTTGCAGGTTCTGGGTCTGAACTTCCCTATCCCTACTGACCAAGTTGTGGGGACAACCCCTCTCAAGCAACAAGGCACAACTGAAATTGGACTAATAGGGATAAGCATCCCCAGTGCCTTCCTCTTTGCTTAAATATTGGTATAGCTTTTGAAATTCTGCCATGTTTTAATTGCAGGATTTTTCTGACTTAGGCAATGAAAGTGGTGGTTTTTTAAGTTTGTGTCCAGCTGTCAGGGCTGCTTGTTAGGATTTACATCCTGTCTTGGATACTCACCAGCTGAAGTGGCTGTAGTTTGTTTAAAAGGGTCATCTAAATACCTTCAGAATGTGAAATGGGCTGGTTAGGCCAACATTAAACTTTACATATTGCCTTTTAATATCTCAAGTATACCACAGAGCCCTAAAAACCATGAATATTCACGTGTATGGGCAGGTTGAAGTGTGCCCTTGTTACCATGCACATTTCTGTGCCTGTTCTTTGCAGATGCCAATGTGATGAGCCTGCTGGGAGTGGGGGACTGCAGGGCTAGATTCCTTTTTTTTTTGCAACACTTTGGCCCCTGAGCTGTTTCTGTTCTCATGCTTAGAAAAGAGTGGCTTAACAAAGGTTTCCAAGGCTGAAGATTTCTTTCTTGGAATATTTTGTACACTGATGGGCAGCAAAAAAAATCCTTTTTCCTGGCATTTTTAACTAGCTTAATGTCTTTATGGTGGTAAGCAAGTATGTGAGTGGCATGGGACCTGTTGCTACCTTGCACTGTGCAGTGCAGACCTTTGTGGAGGTGTCCTGAAAACATTTGAGGGAAATACCATGGGATAAGCAGCTGTGTGGCTGCTGTGAGGGGAAGGAGCCTTGGAATTCAAGAGGATATTGCATGTCCAGTTGTAGGATAAATCACAGAGTCACTTCTTTGGAGTTACTTCTTTGGATAAAGATGGGATGAAGTCCAAGGTTCTGTCACTCTACCACATGTGAGGGATCTTTTGGTCACCTGGTGAATGATTAACTGCTCTGTTTGGATTAGCTGAGTCATTGCTCCAAGGCACGTAGGACCAAGACCTTTTTAGTTTTTAACCCCAAAATTTACTGAAATAACAAACTCTTGTCTTCCTGGAAGAAATAAGGGTGGGAAAGAGAGAGAATGAAGTGACAGATCTTACACATTTTGGAGTAATTTTTTAAACTTTTCTTTCAGAAAAGTCCATGCCTGTTACTGGTTTGAAGACAACCCTTCCTTATTATGGAGCAAGAGAACTTGAAGCAGCTTCTCTTTTTAAGAAATATCTTGTTGCTGTTAATATTTAAGAGCTTTTAAGCTTATTTTTACTTTATTGACAGTCTGGGGCTTGGGGTGTATGTATTTAGCAAAGATTGTTCATGTGGCGGCCAGTCCCTTGAGATGTCCCTTTTATGTTGGCCATGGTCTTCCCATCAGGTAATGCCAGTTGGGGCTCATAGCTCATTTATTTTTTATTCCAGAGAAGATGTTTTAATTTAATAATTTACTTAATAGCAAAAGAGAGATTTGTTGCCTCTTTGTAGTAAAGCCTGAATTTAAAAATGTCCTATTTTCTAAGAAATATTAAAAAAAATGAACTTCAAATGAAGTTACTTTAACTTTTCAGATGCTTTTAAAGAAATAAATAGGTAGGTAGGTAGGTACTGATATGGCATAACCTTGATTCAATTTTCTTATTATTGGCTCCAATGAAATGAAATACAAGTATTTAGAAGCTCTGGCTACTTCCTACCTCACTTATTACAACAATGGCAATCCTAGGCAGTTTCCCAAAACATTTCTTTTGGATTTGAATGTTCTTTTCATTCTTCATCAATAAAAGCAACCCCTATTCCCTCAGACACAGGGGAACACAGGAAATCTCTGCTCCTCGAGACATATCCTCAGCCTGGTGCTCCTTATCTCCTCACTCTTCACCCAAACACTGTCCTCCCCTGTCCAGCACCCTGGAAAATTCTTTCCTGTGAATACCCCAAGTTTGCCAACTCCAAAAGCCAGCCTGGCTGTTCTCCCTATGCTTTCTAGGTCCATTTGCTGCCCTGTGCTTCTCTGAAATGTCATGAAAAAGTCACTGAGTTTGGCCCACATCCATAGGAGGGAATGGCCAAGAGGACATTTCCCCAGTCCAGGCTTTGTACATCCCATGAGCCTCTGGGTCAAAGCACCAGCCTGGGATATCAGGCTGGGCAGATTTCCCACATGTCATTTTTAACTATTTTTTTCCTCCCTTTTTTACCTGAAAGAAATGCTGACCATGGCCACCTCCAAGCAGATCCCAAAACAACCCTCCTACTTAGGAACCATCCAGGCGGTTACTGTGCCCTGCCTTGCTTCGCTTTGTGAACCCAAATGTCCCAGCCTAAAACCTGGGCACTGTATTTAGCATCTTTGGGAATTGGCGTCATGCCTTTCTCATGAAATTTGCTCAGCTGAGGTGTCCAGACCCACCTCTGCCTCCTCTGAAGCCAGTTTGACTGCTCCAGCCAGAACACAGCTTAATTTGAGGGGAGAAACTTGCCCAGGTGTGCATGGATCCCTCCCCATGGATCCCTCCCCATGTGACAGGGCTAGAGCTTCCTGCAAAGGCTGCCCTGGTCCCACCTCTGAAGTCAGCAAAGAGCTGGAAGCAATGCTGGGTTTAAGGAGAAAGGTTGCTCCATACCTAGCTGGACCAGTTTGATGCTGGAGTGCTGGGCAGCTAATTCTTGCAGGGCCTGGAAATAAAGCGATGGAGCAAGGGAGGAGGTTAGAAGCCACCGGCTGCATGGTCAAGTGTCCCACCCCTGCTCCCAGGTCACTCAGCCAGGGTGGTTTTGTTTTCTTTGGGGAAAGAGCATAGGGCCATTCCCAGTGGATGGGGTAGGGCAGCAACCCCACAGCCAGCAGGAGAATGGTACTGCTGGGCTGGCTTAGGAACTGTCCCCATCCTGAGTGATCCCAGCACAGAAAAGGGGTTGGCTGGCCATTGGCACAGCCAGGAACGAGTGCTGAAGACGTCTGCCTCTCCAGCCTCATCCCACCCAGCCACATTGGACCCTGCCTCATCCAGGGAGCTGGGGGATTATGAGACCACCGGAGCACTTTTCCCCCTACTCTTGGGCTACCCAGCCAGGGCAGCAAGCCACCAGGGCTGTGGGAACTGCAGATCCCTGCTGCACACCTGGCTCAGCCCCATCCCATCCCCTGTGCCCGCACTGACCTTCCCTCTTGGACCCTTGGGGTCGCGGCAGGTGGCAAAGATGTGCTGGGGGGGCCGGGGGCTGGCGGCCAGCTGCCGCACAAGCTCCAGTCCGATGCCCCGGTTGGACCCTGTCACCAGGACGCTCCGAGCCAGCGCAGCCATGTCCCCAGCTCTGCGCTGGGCGGTGACACATGGCAGGGTTGCCGCCTGCTTGGCGTAAAAAGGAGCCCGGCACAGCCCAGGGTGTGGCTCTAGGCACCCATGGGACTGGGATAGTGCCAGCATCTGGCCCCTCACCTGCCCCAAATGGATCCAGCATCTCGGGAGGACCAAGGGCTCCTTGACATTTGGCACATGGAACTGTGTCACCTGCATTGCTCAGATTTCCACCGCTATGCTCCTCTAAAGCCCGAGCTCCTGGAGTCTCTGTAACAGCAGAAGGGTCCATCTCTTCCACAGGTTTGGAAGAGCACTACCAGGAAAAGGAGAATGGGTTCAAATCTGGGTGTGGCCAGCAATCTCCTAGTTTGGGGGGTGAGTTTGGAATGGTTGAATTCTGAGATGCTAATCCAAAGCCCAGGCTGGAAGGCACAGGGAGTGCTGTTTGTATACTGCAAATTCCACTCCTGCCAACACTTCCCCCCAGAGCATCCAGGAGCCAGCAGAGAAGGACTCCCACTCCCCGTAGCCTCGACCACCCACTGTTGGGGCTTCAAGTTCACAGTCATCACCTTCTTCCTTGCTGGAGGACAATGCTGGATGCTTATAAGCCCAAGAAGTGCCTGTAAAAGCAAGGCTTCTTCAACCCAAGCCAGCCTGGGGGCATGGATTTTTAGGATGCAGAAGTGTTAAAAGAAGCAAAGAGCTGCCATGTAAAAAGCCTTAGCTAAAACAGAAGAATTGCAGCAACATGAATATGAGGTGAGGGAGGAAAAAAGAAAGTTGTGGGGGTAGGTCCATCCCATCTGGATGTGCCTTGTCACATGTACCTGTTACTCAGTGTGGCAGTGGGGACAGAAGTCTCTATTCCCCGAGTAGCTGAGTGGTTCCACATTTTGCAATCACCAAAGAAACACTTGGGAGATTGTGAAGGGCCCTCACATTTGGAAGATGAGCTTTCAGGTGACACAGATCATAAAGGGGAAGAAGCAGTGATGTTTCCTTCTGTGGTGGTGGACAGATTATGGCCCCCATGAGAAGTAAGCATGCTGGGTGTGGATTTGGATGGTGTTGGAGTCAGATCTGCTGTAGCAAACGTTCTTGCAGGTGTAATCACCTGCACTAATAATTGCACTGCTCAGACTTGCCTGCTCGGCCTGCAGCATCCAGAGCAGAGCTCCCATTAGGAAAAAATTAGACTAGAGTTTCCTCTTTTCCTTCCAGGTTCCTCAGGAAGGAAACAACAGAAACAAGTGAAGAGGGCTGCAGGACCAGGAATGGCTACGGGCCAGTGCCAAGCAGGAGAGTGGCGTTTGGAAAAGGCTGATAGTAGCCAAGGACAGCAGCACAAGCCCACTCACAGCCTGAATAACAGCTCAGGGCCAGAAAGTATGCACCAGGGAAGAGATGAAACCAGGCTACAAGATCCCAATGCTACAGAGGCACCTGGGAACCATCCAGGTTAGGGAAGAACTGAGAGAACTCTACTCCAAGGCCCATCAGGAGCAGCAGGATCAGCAATGACTTTAGAGTGGGTTGCCCAGGGCTTGAACCTGACCTCAAAACCCTCCAGGGACCCCGCAGACTTCCCAGACCCCCCCTTCCACTCTGACTGTCCTCAGAGCGATTTTTTGTGTCAGTGTGGCACCTCCCCTGTATACATGCTGTGCCCCTTGGCCTGGGTCCACAAGGCCCTTGCAGTGACCCCTCCTGTGTCTCATAGCCTTGACCTTGACCCCGCAGACCCCTGCAAAGACCCTGTAGCCATTACATCCCCCAGCAGGGCTTTGTTCACCACTGCAGCACCCCCAGCTCAGCACCCTCAGCCAGCTCCTGCTCTGTCACAGCCCCTTCCTGGCTGAGCCCCACAGCTCCCCGCTGCCTCCATGGGAACAGCCAGCATCACTTTGTTACAACATGTGGAATGTGTCAGTCAGTATTATCTTACGTCAGGCTGTTCTTTGATATAAGACCTTTGAATACTTTCTAGCCTAATCAGCAGGAAAGGAGACCTAATCACTGGAAGAGGCAGGAGCTAGCATCCCTCACTCAAGGACGTTCTGGAACTAAGATTTAGGGATTGCTAACTTGGCAAAATACTGGTCCGTGTGTCTTAGAGCTAAACTATCTTCATTGTAACACTGAAAATCACATCTACAGATCAAAAAGACCCTCCCCACGTGTAGACCCTTCCCCTGAGCATGAGTAGAAGTTAGATGGGGTTACATGATTTGTATGGGAGGTAGTAGTCAATCCTAACAGAAGGGCTGTGTTTGATAAGTTATTAACCCCGAATTTCTGTGTATAAGTAACAGCATGGAAAGTCCGGTGGGGTGTGCTGGATTTGTAGAATACCACTGTGACAATTGATAAAAGATTCGTGTTAATCACAAAAGCATTGGGGTTTGCATAAACCAGAATACTAAGCTCTGAAGTGAAGCATGTACACTAGATAAAGGGAATTATATGATTAAATAATTCTGTTTAAAATCACCTTGTTATGTTATATTATGTTGTATTATGTTACATTACATTATGTTATCTTATGTTTGCCAAATAAGTTGTATCGGCTACCAGCTTGCGAAATTGGACTTCCCAAAAAGCCCTTCCTGCCTTTGTCTGATCAATACTGCTTATGTCAAGGACCAGACTTCCAGAACTGCTCTGGTGGTGATCTACAAGGACCCGATGGCTATCTGTGACTGATTATTGCCCGGAGGCTTTGTAAATTTGTGTAAGGATGTTTATTCGACCACCACTGCTTACCTGGAAAAATTATGACCGCAAAAAACCCAAAAATTATTGAATACAATGAGAAACCACAGTATAAGAAGAGACTGCAAACCAAGGTTCGGTGGACCGTGGAGTGGGCGGTGACCCCTCACGTTCCCCAGCGCGCTGCTTGCTCTTTCTATATCAAATAAAGCAATCCAAAATTTTGCTGAATATCGAGACTTTTGTCTCTCATTTATAACACCACTGAGCACCCAGGCTGGGGCAGCTCTGAAATAAACAATATCTCACTCGAGTGCGTCATTATCGGCTCGTTGCACACCAGGGAACGAACTTGATTTTTGGGGCAACATCCCTACGCCTCCCCTCTGCACCCCTAAAATGGCGGCGCCCAGGGAAGCTTCAACCCGCCCGCATCACGTGGCCGCCGTGTCCCGCCATTGCATCAGCCGGGGGCGGGGCGCGGCGCGGATGGGTGGGGCTGGCGGAAGAGTGGCAGCCCCCACAGCCAATGGGAGGTGGCGTCCGGCGGGGGGGGGCGGGGCGGAGCGGGCGCTGCGGCGCGGCCGGAGGAGCGCAGCGAGGGGCGGCGGTGGTCGTGCAGGTACGGCCCGAGGGGCCTGCGGATGTTCGGCTGCTGGGTTTGGTTTCTATGGCCCGGCCTGGACCCGCGGGCACAGAGGAGAGGGGCAAGGAGAAGGCAGGGCGGGAGGGTGGCGGTGGCGGTGCGCTGGTCGCGCCCCATGCGGGCCTGCTGAGGGATGCCGGCTGCCGGCGGCGCTGCCGGACACCGCTGTGCCCTCACCCCTCCTCGGGCACTGCAGAGCGGGGGTGTCTGGGCAGAGGCTGTCATAGGTCCGCTGCTACGCTTGGTTCTCCCCACTTCGGGTCATTCCCTCCTGCAGCATCGAGGTTGGACTCGATGATCTCACAGGACTTTTGCAAGCTAATTGATTCTGTGCTGTGAATACTCCCGGGCCTTGCTCCTATGGGGAATTCCCGTCTCTCCGCGCCGCTGCAGGCTGCTGGGATCTCGCCTCCCTGCATGGATCCGCATTGCGCTGAGCTGTCAGGGATAGCCATGTGTTCCCGTAGGACACGGGCGGTGCTGCCCTCCAGGCTGTCACTGCCTCTGGTGTGCGTATGGGGATGTGGGTCCCCTCAAGAAAGGCTTCCAGGAATCCCTGGAGCTGGCTGTGCTTTGAGCAGAGCCAAAGGGAGGGTGGTCAAGGTTATGTTAAGGGGTCATTTTCAAACTTGGCTGTTCTATGATTTAGTTACTGAATCACAGAATGGTTTGGATTGGAAGGTACCTGAAAGCCCATCTGGTTCTAACACCCCTGTCATAGGCAGGGACACCTTCCACTATGTAATGGTGCTCCAAGCCCCGTGCAACCTGGCCTTGGCACTTCCAAGGATGGGGATGCCACATCTTCTCTTGGCAACCTGTGCCAAGTCCTCACCATCCATGCAGGGAAGAATTTCTTCCTAATATCTAGCCTAAATCTCTCCTCTTCCAGTTTAAAATTGTTCCTCCTTGTAATATCATTATCTGCCTATGTAAAAAGTTGCTATTTGTCATTTTTATAAGCCCCCTTAAATACTGGAAGGCCATAATGATGTCTTCTCACTCTGCATTTAATAACCTTGAATGCTTTTGTGACTTGGCAATCCCTCTGTCCCCAGCAAGGCAAACACAACCTACTAAGTTTAGTATCCATGTGAATTTGATATTTTATAGCTATGTATTTTCAAAGAACAGGTAACTTGAGGTAGAGCCCCATAAATCAGAGAGTTTGAGGGAGAGGAAATTTCAGGTTGAGCCACCACTATTTGGGGCAGATTGATGGTTGAACTGAAGTGTCAGTGAGTACTTAACAGTGTGGGGAAAACCTTTCAGGAGTTGGAGACAATGATCCTGATGTTCACCTTGAGCTGACAACACATCAGAGCGTTGTTTGTTGTTGTTTGTTCAGACTGCACCGAGGTTTTGCCACTTTCCTGCCACTTGCTTTGGACAGTGGCAACTTCCAGCTTCCACATGGAGACCCCTCTCACTGCCAGCCAGATCCGGCAACGGTTCATTGACTTCTTCAGGGAAAACAAGCACACCTATGTGCACTCATCTTCTACAATTCCCCTGGATGACCCCACACTGCTCTTTGCCAATGCTGGTATGAATCAGGTAGGATTCCCACCCTGGCACTGTGGTCTTGCTAACACACCCTGTTGGAGCCTGTGAAGCTGTTTGCAGAGCTGTTGGGAAAATT